ATGCCATGGCTGCCTCTTCTCCCCCGCCCCCGCTCCCGCTCCAGCTCCTTTCAAGCACACGGCCAGCACGATTACCTGCCTGCAAGCGTGCCTCGTATAGCCTTTGTGTATGTATGTGTCTGTGTATGTGTGTATATATGCCGACAATATTGTCAAATTTCATACACAAGTCTCTGCTCTGTGTGTGTGTGTGTGCGTGTGTTCTCTTGTCTGTGTTCCTGTATCACTATCTCTTGTTTAACTGTTGCGATTTACGGACTAACTCCGACAAGGTCCTCGGCATCTTCCTCAGCTGCCGTCGCTGTCGTCGCCAGTGCAATGAGGAAATAATAAATACAACATTTGAGGAAATTGAATTGTATGTGCTTATACCTTCATACATACGTACATACATGTGCAAATGTATGCCTGTTTGTATGGATGAATGGGCTTCCTGATGCCGAGGCGCGTAGAGGCGACAAAAGTGTCGGCAAGCATTATTTTAAATAATAGGAGTTGTGATAATTCAAATTGGTGTGAGAATTTGCGATTCCTTGAAACTCTATGCTGTATAATGTTTTATTTTTAGTTACTATATAAACTGACTTCTAAAAAACTTTAGAATTTTTTTTTTTTTGATTATTAGCAAGTATAAAATGATATATTTTTGATAAATTTAAAGACTAACGAAAGACTGCTTAAGAATAATTTTTTAAAATTTTTTTTTATTTAAATTCATCTTCAACTCTTCAACATATATTACAAATATTTTCAATTTACGTATTAGCTTTTTTAATCATTAAAAATTGAGTTAATTTAATTATCATCAAGTAATTAATTTTATTATATTTATGATCATCAATAATCAAATGCTAAAAGTTTAATTTAGTTAATATTATTCTATTCATAATAATTAATAACTATTATTATACTCATAGAATATGATTCCTTCAAATTAGTAAAACCAAAATATATAAAAAAAAAAATAAGTTTTAAGTTGACTTTAAGAATTTAGAATTGCAACAAATTATATAAACATTAAGTAAGTTGAGCATTACTGCATACAAAATATTTTTTGTATTATCTGAAGTTTTAACTAATAACTATTAATTTAATAAAAAATATTATGCTGTTTATGAATTTACAACACATTTTTATAAGGAATCACCATCCAAAATAATTGAATATTCTAAGATTCTCTCGTTGTTCCAAGCTATCCTTTAATGCTTGTTATCAAATATAACAAAAATAAATTTTTTGTGATTTTGAATATATGGGAATTGTATAGAAAGCACTCGTTTTCGTTACAATTTGATTCGCTAAAAAAAATATTTTAATTTTATATTTATAAGTAAAGAAAATATTTAAAAAAAATGCCACACAATTTGTATCCTGCTTTGACAACTTTGTCGGCTGTCAACCTCTGCCCCGCTGTCTCGTCACTTGATTCTGTGAGTGTGTGAGTGAGTCGAGTATAGACTCGTAGGCTACTTTGTTGTTGCTGTGTTTGTGGTTGCTGCTCTTGCTGCAGCCGCGTGTCCCCACCGCCAGCTTCAGCTCCAGCTCCCAACGTCTATTTGTATTGAAGTTAATAAAACTGCCTTTTATGGCGCTCGGCACAATATGTATTTTCATGGCCATTTGAGCGCCTGAAAGTATGCGGCAATCAAATTAAATGTTATGTACGCTTTTAAGGATCTACCCCATGCCCGTTAAATCGCCGGCAATGCGAATTGGCAATTTGGCCAATCAAGTGGCCAATGAAATCAAAAATTTTCGCCAGAAGCTTGCGATTATGATTATGCAATCATTATTGCGCAATCTCCCGCTGAACGCCTTTTATGTGATTTGCATTTTTCGCATCGAGTCGTGTCTTCTAATTGAGTTAAGAGCTTTGCTTTGGGCAGACATTGCTATCGCGATAACTGAATATGCATATATATAAATATATAATATATACACAATATATATATAATATATACATACATATATACATATCTGATATCTATCACGCACAGTTTTGCATAACAAATTTGCTCGAGCTTCAAATCCGCAAACTCAATTTGCGCCCTGAAAAACGTCGCAAAAGAAATATGAAAACTGTGAGCAGCAGAGCCCGAGCAACATTTGTCAATTTTATTTATGGTCACGTAGCGTTTCAATTTTGCTTTAGATTTTTCCTAATGGCCGCAAACAAGCAGCAAAACAAACCAAACAACAGCAACCAGCACCAGGCGCTACCTCCATCAGGTGTTAAAGGCCACTTAAGTGCTGAAAAATGTGGGCAGCCAGCCGGTGTGGGGGCAGGTAGCTGGCTGGCTAGCTAAAAACTCACCTGGCTTGGTCCACCTGGCATAATTACGCGCCATTCCGCGGCATTGTAAAAAGTGTTGAAGGTGTCTGGGTTAATGC